ATGGGCGGGCGGGCGGGGCGGGGCCGGGGGCGCCGGGCGGCGGGCATGGGGGCGCTGTGCGCGGCGCTGTGGTGCGGCGCTGCCCCTCCCCGCCCGCATTGTCTGCGTGTTTTCAAACTACTGAGCGCCCGCCAAAGCGGCCGGGCCGGGCGTTCGCCGCCGGGGGCCGGGCTCCGCACAAAGGGGAGCCGCCTCGGCCTCGAGCCCGCCTTCCTCGGCGGAGCGAGCGCCGTGGCGGCCGGACGGGCCTTCTTCGCCGCGGAGCTCGGGTCGCCCTGCCCTCCCCGGCCACCGCTCGGCGGAGGAGCGGCCGCGCCTCTCCCGGGGCCGGAGGTGCAAGCTGGAAGCGGTGATGCGCCGCCCCGCCACCCCTAGGCTGGCTTCGTGCGGCTTAATGGGCGCGGAACTTAGCGGGCGCTGATAGAGCTATGCTGTTAGACGCTGAGCTGTAAAGCCGCCCGTGCCGCAAAGCCCGAGAGCTTCCCGCGCGCCGATGGTTTCGCTTTTGCTTCCTGAAGCTCTGCGAGCGTAGGAAGGGCGGAACTCAGCTGAGGGTGGCGCGGGGCGCGGGACGGAGAGAAACGGCCCGGCCTCGTGCCTTTATTCGGCTCTTAGAGAAGTTGAGAGATCTGCGTTCGGAACTTCACGTGAAGACGCCGTGGGAGTGCGGGTTCAGGGCTGTTCTGCTGTCTGTGCTCATCGGTGCTTTGCCGGGAGCCGCTTCTGAGCGGTTCCTATGGCACGTGAGGAGTTTGTCCCTGCGTTCAGACCTGTTGAGCGAAGCTTATCAGAAGCGGCTTCTCTCAGCATTGCCAGCCGGCAGCAGAGCCCAGCTGCTTCTCGTTTGTACAGCTCAGGCTTTGCACTAAAATGGATTTGTAGGGCGTGCCGAAGTGCAATTCCAAATTGTCCTTTTGATTTGAGTCTGCCAGTGGGAGCCTACCAAATTTCAACACGGTATGAGTGAAACAAACACAAGAGTGGAAACGTGATATCTGTGCTGTTTTCTATGCCTCCTTTTTTCTTTTCTACCTTATTCTGCCACTTCTATGCGCTCACAGTTCAATAACATACAGTTTAGTAATTTCTGGTTTTGCAGTTAGTTGTCAAGCATAGATCCCATTGGAGTCTGCTTGTTGTTTCCTTTAGTTAGATATTTTTTTAAATTGTCTTTGGAGTCTGCTCGATTGGTTTCCATTACCTTAAGTATGTGTTGGATCAGAGCCATCCTCATTTAAAAATATGACTGTCTTATGTAATGGAGTAACATTTTGATAGCATATGGAATGGATAGGCAGAAGACAAGGTGAGAGCAGGAACAGAATTGTGCAAAGGGGCAATTTGATGTCAGTTGAAAAAAACTGTATGTCAGTGTCCGTGGTATTATTGGGGATTGCCTTTGATTGTTACAGGTCAATGAACTCAAACGTCTGAGAATACTTGTTTGTGTATTATTTATGTATTTATCACAGCATTAATATTAAAATAGAAAAGCAGTTCTGAACAGCAGCACTTCAGAAACACAGAGCTTAACTAAATATACTTTGTTGAAAGTAGAACAAAATGTCTAAATACAAGTCTGTATTCAGAACACAGAAGTTTATTCTTAGGAAGTTCCTTTCCTTCTAACTTTGAAAAGTGAGAGCAGTGTAAAGTTGCTTTAGCTTGAGAACTGTCAAATTCGGATCATTCTCAGCTGAATTGTATCTTTGGTTGGAGTCCAGTGGTGTCAAGTACTCTCTTTGGAGAAAAATTTCCATTACCTTTTCTGTCTTGGCAGTAGTGTTTGAGATCAGTTTTCATTTGCAGCTGATGTCAGTTAAGTCTCCCGTTAAAGGACTGAAGGCTTTCTAGACAGTTGAACATCAAGAGATGAATGCACTCAGTTTCTCTCGAAGTTCCCAACCTTCATGGCTTTGGACTAAGCGGGCCTTGTGGCTGTCATATGGGAAGGGAAGTGGAAGTGTGTTTTTGGGCAGATATCCCTTTTGATGGGGGTTACAAGAACACGAGTAGTTGGAGGACACAATGGGTAATACAGATTGATAGCCTCAACCTCCTCATACCTTTCTGAAACATCTTACTTTTTCTGTGCACTCAGTATCAGCTGGTGCTTTTATGCAGCATTTAATTAAAACTCTTTGGCTAGTAGAGTGTTCAGCATGTTAAATTTTAATCCTTAAATTAAACAATTAAATATTTAAATAAATACTTCCTTCAGATAACATCAAGTTGGATCTTTGATCCTGTATGCAGAGAGTCCTTCATGGGAAGTGCGTGACGTACTTTTACATTTATTCAAATTTGGGTCATAAAATTAAAAGCAAATGAAAGCACCTCCTGGCTGGTGTGTGTAACCTGAGCACTGAGCAGCACTGAGCAGCATTGAGCAGTACCTCCATAGAGCTGAAAGTGTTCTGTGCTGAGTACGACAGCGTTAGCAGTGGGAGTTTGGGGGGGTACTGCGGGATCAGCAGAGCTGTCAGCTCACCCTCCCTGTTCTGTTTAAGCACGTCAGGGACACGGGCAGACTTAACGTGAGTGTAAGTGACGAGTGGTGACAGCACAGGTAGGAATCGGTCCTCTCGCTGTTGGATGTAAATCTGAGTTCCTGTGGGGCAAATTGTGATTATGATGTTCTTGTGTCTGCATCAACAATTAGGAACATGGTTCTGAGGGGAATTAAAGTTATGACGTACTTCAAGGTTGTGCAGTGTGAATATTTTGTGGTGTATGTTTTTAAACATCTTGATCACGTGATTCAATTTATTTTCTTTTCTAGGTGAATTTTATGTTTTTTCATACGCCCTTGCCTGGTGGCAGGCAGTAAAAGCCTGCCTTGTGCTGTATGCGTTAGGTGACAGCGCAGCCTCATGTCCTGCCAGCCACATTCACGTGAAGCTGGACACTCCCGTACAGCTTTCCTGCCCCGGCAGTGCAGGCAGGGGCTTTCCTGCGTGGTGCCACCGAGTCCTGTGGCATTTCCTCTGGCGTCCGCTGTGCTCCTAATGCTTGCTCACTAAAGCCTTCATCCGGCAAGAGATAGAAGAGTCGGTTATTGACATTCCACCAAATGTTCTGCCTGTGCATCTCAAAATTGATGTACATTTTTAGTAGGGATTCTCCAAAGAAAGGCTGTTGTCATATAGCTCTCAACATTTGAGGTGTGGTTCCACTATTAATAAATGTTTAAATGAAGATCATTTATCCCTGAAGATCGTGGTGCTTCTACAGTTGTGCAAATGTAATACGAGCGTGGAGGTCCAAGGAGTCTGTACAGCTTTTGTGATTTAGTTCATCACATTTGATGGCTTTGTTCCTTTTATTTCTGCAGAAGTGAAATGGCTCTTTTTGTGTGTCTGTAGATTGATTTGGATACTATTGATGTCAGCAATCTCAACAGGCAGTTTTTGTTTCAGAAGAAACATGTTGGAAGATCAAAAGCACAGGTGAGGAAAAAGTCAAAGCTCACGTTTTACTCGTTTGGTGTTATTTTGTGGACATTGTTAGAAACCTGTCACAGTGTTGTTGATGCTGCTGAGAGGTAAGTGGTGGTTGGCTGCTTGTGGCTGTCTCCAAGTTTCATTTAAAAGTATTAAAATCTCTAAGGTAGTCAATTTACTCAGTACTCAACTGGTACTGAGTCGCTTTAGAAAGAAGGAAGAAATAATAAGTGTTGTTTTTGTTTTTGTTTTGTTTTGTTTTTATTTCTAGGTTGCCAAGGAAAGCGTGTTACAGTTTTATCCAGAAGCTAATATTATAGCTTACCATGATAGCATCATGAAGTATGTTTGTTTTTAAGCTCTAATTACGTGTTCTGATTTGCAAGTACTGTTATTTAAATGCTGCAGTGGTGTGCTTTAAGGTACTTCCCAAACCTTCTGCAATAAGGTAGCTGTAAATATGAGACTGCATTGCACTGAATGGGAGTGTGGATTTTGCATGAATTTTATTAAATTCTGGTAGCTGTAGTTATTTGCTTATGTCTCATTCTCACTTTATTAGCAACATTACTACTTGAGATTCTACGCTGTACAATTTCTTGATGTCATGAGTGATAATTAGAGGAAAATAAGTGTGAATGTTGAGTACTTGATTTAAAAAAAAAATTTAAAACATCCAAAACTTTTGTCATGCATAGGGCATAGAATCATGGAATGATTGGGGTTGAAAGGCAGGTGTAAATATTGCTCAGTCACCAAACTGTTAAAATCTGGTCTTTATGGTCCATAACAAGTCAGTGAAGTGCAAGATCATGTAGCTTTTCATTATAGTTATTTCCCAGCTATTAATGTGCATTTGTCCAGTTTTTACAAAAGGTCACACTCTCAATTAATTTTAAGGTTTCAGCTCTGATGTTGCGATCAGCCACTGAAACATTGGCTCATTGCATCCTCCTCCTGAAACTATAAAACCATTAATCCTGTTTACTTGCTTCTCTGTCATCTTTGCTGCTGCCTTAAATAAGTCAGAAAAATGCAATGTGAAGATGCTAAGGTGTCAGGATTTTTAAGTCCCTCATCTTGGCTTCTAAGGGTATGCAGGTACAATCAAAACCAATTGAGCTTTCCCACTGTAATGAGATATCAACAGTCTGATGAGCTGTGGTAATTACAGTGTGCACATCTTACCCTCAGCTGGTGGTTTTTAAAGTCAATTATCAGAGATCATCCAATTTACTCATTAGGTCAGAGCAGTGTAGACACTTTTTTGCCTGCTTGTTTCATTGTCAAAGTGACAGCGATTGGAATAGCATCCTTCCAGTGACAGGTCATGCTTCTACCTAGCTTTAAAATGGGCTGAAGACAAATGGGTTGCTTAAGGGCTATTGGTAAATCTGTAGTGCGTGTAATCCGTACATGAACATCAGTCTGCCCTTTCTGTGTGTGCTGTTTCTGTTGTGACATAACAACCAATAACTTTGATGTACCATTTTGAATATTGTTTTTCTTTTCTGTAGCCCTGACTATAACGTAGAGTTCTTCCGCCAGTTTACGTTGGTTATGAATGCTCTGGATAACAGAGGTGAAGTTTTCATTATGATTTTGCATTGAAGGTGAAAGTGCAGTTGCTTGTTCATGAGAACAGAACTCTGATGTGTTCTACTACTAGTTCTTGAGCAGTGTCAGTTAAATAAGTATCCTCTTAAGCCAGCTGTAGTTTAACTAATGCTTTTGTGCACTGTTAAAACATTGAGAGCTTAGGCAGAACTGTTACAGGTGCTTTGAAAGTAAACAAGTCTGCTGTGTTACTGCTTTGTGGAAACTGATTTGTATTTTGTGTAAATGCATAACTGTTAAATTGTCGCTGTATTTGATAGCACCAGTATATTTTGTATCAGTTGGACAGTGGGCTTTGTGAAAGAGGTGTAATGCTAACGTTAGCGAAATAAGGCAAATTCAGGACGAATGTGTGTGTAGGAGTCTGGCTTGTGTTTGTAGAAGTCAAACTTATTTCCACTTACTCAAATTTCTGTTAAACTTCTTGCTTTGCAGCTGCCCGTAACCATGTGAACAGGATGTGTCTGGCTGCCGATGTTCCTCTTATAGAGAGTGGAACTGCAGGCTACCTTGGTCAAGTAACAGTTATTAAGAAGGTCAGTTGTGTTCTACTCCTGTCACTTTAAGTTTAAATCATTGGCTATTTTAGACAACAGAGTTGGGTGCTGTGAGATAAAGTTACAGCTCATCTGATAGTGGTGCATTCTGTCGGTAGTCTCACGGTGTGACGAGTAAATATTTCGCTTTTCACCAGGGAGTGACAGAGTGTTATGAATGTCATCCTAAACCAACTCAGAAGACTTTTCCAGGCTGCACAATCCGTAACACTCCATCAGAACCTATCCATTGCATTGTGTGGGCCAAGTATTTGTTCAAGTAAGTCTTCTTTCCTTTTTTTCTTTCAAAATGGGGACTGTAACTCACTCTCTTTGTGTTGGTTTCTAAAACTACAGATTGAGAAATTAAGGACACAGGTTGAAAACTGTTGTAGATAACAGCAAAAACCTCCAGTTGTTTGACTTTTTCCTGTTTTTTAAAATACACAGATAGCATGTCAGTTAGTACTTAAGCCTTGTTCTGCTATCACAGAAAATAGGGCAGAATGACTTTAAAACAGAGTAAGGTTTGCTGGGATTGCGGAGATAGATGAACTATTGAGGGAGTCATATGCATCTCTTTTACTAAATTCATTTTCCTGTTGAGTTTTGTGCATGCTCCATGTTAAGTCTGCATGTGATGAATTCCAGCAATTTAAAATGCAATGGATGGAGTAGCACTCTGATAGCAAGAATTCTAAAGTACACATTTACCAATTACCAAATATTTCAGTATTCAATAAGACATGAGTAAAATCTGGTGTTGTGTTGTTCTTAATTGTTGTACAGTCAGTTGTTTGGAGAAGAAGATGCTGATCAAGAAGTCTCTCCTGACAGAGCTGATCCTGAAGCTGCCTGTAAGTGTGATATAGATTGTACTTACCCTGTTACTGAGACGTGTCAGAAATTGACTTCCTTCTGTCCATTTCTTGAAGTTATGGTTTAGCTCCATTTTCTTCTGAGAGGGTTTCACTTAAAGCACTTACGAACAACATGAATTTAGGGTGTGCAAGCAGCAGATCACCTTTGTGTGCGTCATACATACTGCTATGTATTAAAAGTCTGCAGTGATTTCAGTGCCGTTGGGTTTGGTTTTGGTTGGTTTTTGTTAGTTTGTTTTTAGTTAACTTGATGCACAGTGTATACTGAGAGCTTTGTGTGGCCCAGCATGCAAAAAACACTCTTCAAAATGCCAATATTTTGATAGTTTCAGTTGTCAGAATTGTAGCCCTTATGGGCAGCTAAAACATTAATGAAATGATTACTTCAGCTGTTGCAAAAACCTTTTCATGCAGTGTGAGATAGGTCTCTGTCATTCATTAGTTGTCTTCAGTAAGAATGTGGGTAGAGCAGCTGTGAGGAGCAGTCAGTATGCTTTGTAATCGTGAAGTTCCAGTTCATACATCCAGATTTGTGATAAATGATTTAGGTGAGTAGGTTTATATATATTCAGAGACTCCTATTCCCTCCGGAGCAAACTCTCTTCCCCATCTGCACGGAGAAGTGAACTTGAAGTGAAAATTAAATATTACTGGTCTTTGCAGGACAACATATTTTCCTGTGTATTGAATTTGATGGAGTACTTCCTTCCATGCAGGTGGGAGACTTGCTTTCTAAACCAAGGACTGAAAACTGAGTGCTGTATGTAGTCACACTGCATTTTCCACTCCTAGCTGAGGGATTGCCAAACTGGAAAACAGGGGTCAAGTCTCAATTCTTCTAGTTTGAGACGCTTCCATGTTCGTCTGCATAGAAAAGATGCCTCTTTAGTGTGATGTTTTTGTAGCTATGCTGCATTTTTTTATATGAACAGTGGCCGTAGTCACTGCAGTGGTGAATAAGCATCTTTACTGCTTCTCCTCTTGGATTCTTTTAAGTGGTGAACTTGGGAGAGGGAGTTTAAAAAGAGCCTCAGAATCTCTGAACATCAGATAACGTTCATGTAATGAATGGTTCCTATGGGGCGTCCTTAATAAATTTCTGACACTTAAGGGAGTGGCACATAAACTCATCTGCAGCAACAGCTGAGGGAGTACTTGAAGGCAGCAAACGTGCTGCTGCTAACTTGAAGGATCCCAGGGCAATCACAGGGAGGAGTGAGCTGTGGCCTCATCTCTGTAGTGATCAAACTGTCAGTTGCTCTACTGCTGCTTAGAATCAGGGGACCTTCTATTGTATGTTGAGGAAAAGTAAGGGAAAGGAAACCGTGTCATGTGTCTTTAGGGTCCTTTGAAAGCATTGGCAAAGCTGTGGACAGGCATATCTGGTTTACTCCATTGTGAATCTGCAGGTGGCACTCTTTTTTAAGGAAACTGAAGAAACTAAGATGCATTGCAGGAAAAAGGATGAAGATCCTGAAGTGGAAATGATAGAGATAAATGGTGACTAGAGGAGTCTCCCAGTGCTGTTCAGCAGATGTGAATAAACAGACTTCCTCAGAATAATAAAGATGATGGTTAAGAATTAAAAGTAGAAGAAAGTTTCACAATATAAAATGACTAGACAATGAAATGCTGGGTAGATATTGGTGCAGATAAATAAAAAGACGCATTGGAGAAGGGAAGGGAGAACATTCCCAAATTTGCATGTGAAATGGTGATTTTCTGAGTTGATTTTCTGCATGCAGTCAAGATTTTAATAGTTATCTGAAAATATCAACTTGATGCTTACTAGTAGCCAAGATAACAATTGCTGGAAGAGACTAGGAGAAAAAAATGGAAATGAAAAGCACCTGAAAGGATAGCATATTATCATATGGGGATGATCACAGGTAGGAAGCTGATAATCTGTCTTAAAATTCTAATGAGGCTAAAACTCTTAAGCCAGGAAAAAAGACAACCAAAAGGAGATTGTGAGAAATGTATGAACTCACAACACAGTGAGAAGAAATAGGAAACAATTGCTTATTGTTTCTGCCAGTAAAAGAATTTGATGGCATTGAGTTGAACTAGTGAACTGTAGTTGTAGAAATGAACAATCACAGTTGCACTGTGTCTAATTTAGCTTTTATTGGGAACAGTAAAGCCATTTCATGGTGCTTGAATGATTTTGATAATTGACACTAGGAAATATTTGGATATGATCTCCTTTTTTTTCCTGTTAACTAACATTTTGTTAATGCTTTATTTATAGGGGAGCCAGCAGAAGCAGAAGCCAGAGCACGAGCATCAAATGAAGATGGTGAGATTAAACGTGTTTCAACTAAGGAGTGGGCTAAATCAACTGGATATGATCCAGTTAAGCTTTTTACCAAGGTACATTTTTTACCCCAATAAAATGTCTTTATTTGAAGTGTATGAGAAGTTTAAAAGTTTGATCAAAATCCAGTTTGAACACTAAACATTGAGCATCAGTCATGCAGCTGTATTATGACTTGATCAATTTGCTGTTGTGTTGGTCTTTTGCAACATTTGCTTGTCTTATGGCATTCTGTTTGTGTCTATATGGACAACTGCAGCAGCTTGTCCATATTGTAAAACAACCCAGTGGAGTTGTTGTAATATGAGAAGGTGATCTCTTGAATTCTGTGGAAATTTCACTGCGCCTTATCACAACCAGTCTGAGGATCAGAAATATGTAATTCATGCCCTGTATGTAATCAGATGCTGGTATAAGAAAACATAAACTCTGAGGAGTTATGTTTCTAAGTAGTTGCAAAAAAAGAGGAAATGAGTGTAGAATGTAGTGTTGATGGATAGCAGTAGTTTTCCTCGTGAGATTAATTTTCATATAGGTAACAGTATTGCAGTGGGTTAGTATACAAATGGCTGTAGTGATAGCTTCACATGCACCCACTGTTTGGATGACTGTTTCTTGATTTTGGTGTCCCCCAAATTAATGAAAACTGTCTACTTTCTGCACAAAGCATTGAGAGTTTTTTTTATTGTGGAGTTTGGTTTTATATGTATTGTTTGAAATATTATCAAGGAGAAAAGCAAAAACTCATGAATCTAATGCTGTTTTTTTCAGTTTCAAAGGAGATGAAAAAGTAAAATATATCTCTTTTTCTCTTCTTCCTTTTTTTTTTTTTTTTTTTTTTTTTTAAATGTTGCCTAGCTTTTCAAAGATGACATTAGATATTTGCTGACAATGGATAAGCTGTGGAGGAAAAGAAAGCCTCCAGTGCCACTGGATTGGGCTGAAGTACAAAATCAAGGTAATTGTTCTTTCTCCTGGTACATACTTGTAAGTCACATTTCTTGTTTGTTAATGCAGCTCTGTGACATGTACGTTTTCTCACTTTCACAATTGGGTACTGATACTGAACACACTACTTCATAACTCCTGAAGATATTTTTTTCCTATAGAGAAAACATTTTTTTCTAAAAACTGTTTTGAGTGATCAGTATTGGCTATGGAAAATTCCTATTTCACAGAATTACATGGCAGTTTATTCTAGGAGACCTTAGGGCACACATTGATACATTTTATCTAAAAGCTGAAAACCTACATTTGTTTTAACTTGTGCACATCTGTAGATGCCCTAAATATAGCTGTTAGTTGCAGTTTAAAACACAGACTTTAAAAAAAAAAATGTCAGGGCTGCTGTAGCTTAAGAGTACTGTTCTTCTGTTTAGAAAGCATTTAATTTTGTTAAATCAGCAAATTCTTAGCTCTTTGAGGGAATTTTTTTTTTGAATTTATAAATATTCCTGGTATTATTTTTTTCTTTTCCTGAAGAGAAAAGTGTATCTGACCAACAAAATGAATCCTCAGTTTTGAAAGATCAGCAGGTTCTCGATGTCAAGAGCTATGCACACTTATTCTCAAAGAGTGTTGAAACCCTGAGACTTCACCTGGCTGAGAAAGGTGATGGAGCAGAGCTTATATGGGATAAGGTTAGTTTACCTCATAGATAAGAAACTTATATTCTGTGTTCTTAATACGAATGTTGGAGTGATTAAGTTTAATTACAGCGTAGTGCTGCTAAGGGCAAAAATGGCTGACACATCACTAAAAGCACGTGCTGTAAGTAAACAAATGCATACCTTAGGTACTTCATATGTCATTGAATTTATCAATTGAGTATTGTGATGTAAAATAATTTACCAACTTTGAAAAGCACAAATTAAGAAGCAGGTGCCATATTTTCATTTTGAAAATATTTTAATAATGCCACTCCATTTTTCCATTGTAGCTTTCTCTAAAACATGTTCTTGTACAGTAGTTCGTAGCTAGAGTTGGACATAATTAGCTCTGACAGTAGATATGAGGCATATTGCAAGTTCTGCAGAAGAAAAACAAGAAGCAGGGAATTCTTCAGTCCCAGAGGCAGTGTGATCTTCCTGTGGTCCGTTGTCACCTGACGTGAGAAAAAAATGTAGTGTGTCAGTTGGGAGGGAGTGACAACCAAAATAGAAAAACAGTGTTGCAACAGCTGATGAAAATACTTCTTGTTTGTGAAATACCAGTGTTTGAAACCAAGCATAACACACTGTAAGGTTTATTATTTAGACATTATTTTGAACATGAAAAGGCATTTTATTAATACACGAATGCAGTATTAAAATACTAAATACATTTTCTAAACATGTTTTTGAAGTACTGCTGCTCTGTTTAAACATAGTATTTAGATGAGGAAGTATACATACTTTGAAATGGAGTATTTTACAGACTTTTTTATGTTGCAAAGTTTTTCCAGTGTGTAATCTGATTTTTAAATGCACTTTCCATTAACTTCTTGTCAGGATGACCCTTCTGCAATGGATTTTGTCACTTCTGCTGCAAACCTCAGGATGCATGTTTTCAGTATGAATATGAAGAGCAGATTTGATATCAAGTGTAAGAGTTAAAATATAATGCTTTATTTAATAACCTAAACTTCTACATTCCGTTTGCTGTTAAAAATCCATGCACTCTTGCTTCTTTTGCAGCAATGGCAGGAAATATTATCCCAGCTATAGCTACTACTAATGCAATAATAGCTGGTCTGATAGTGTTGGAGGGTTTGAAGATTTTATCGGGAAAAATAGATCAGTGTAGAACGGTAAGTGGGAATAAGACACTTCTCCTTCTTGTTATTCATTATTTATTTAACAGTCATGTTTAACTTTCTTTTACTAGTGTGTAGTTTTACTCCAATGTCACTTTTTGTTTCAGTAATTCTGAATGTGTTAGGAACATTCACCCACCACAGAAAGAAAAGTGGAGGTCTTGAGGATTGTGGAGTTTCATCTGATTTCATGAAAATTGGCTGCTGGATAAGAGAAAGAACCAGACTGACAGCACTTGAAACATACTATTTTCATGTTACAGCTCTGTTTGACAGTAGCTGGTTAGTCAGCACAGGTGTCATTGTGGCCTGGCTGTAATACACACTTTCTCCTGTTTAGTAGGCATGTCAAAGAGGATTAGGGAACAGGACAACCTGGGATTCTTAAGAGAACAAATCTGTAGGGAAACAGATTTTATGAGTGCTTTACTTACAGAATAACTTGTTTCATTCTTGTCTGTCTTCAAGATTTTTTTGAACAAGCAGCCAAATCCCAAAAAGAAGCTATTGGTTCCTTGTGCTTTGGATCCACCAAATCCTAACTGTTACGTATGTGCAAGTAAGCCAGAAGTGACTGTGAGACTTAATGTACACAAAGTTACTGTGCTAACACTCCAGGACAAGGTAAATCTTGAATATTAGCTATGGCTTTTGCTTTGATTCCAGTACTGTACATTATTAAAGATTTTGTTCAATATATTTTGACTGAATGTTAGCTTTGTCATATTTGCTCTGCTCTTTGTATTTTTCTCAGGTGAAAGAAAAGCTAGATTAGCCAGTATGCATCTTACTTGTGTGTCCTTGTATATCTTGTGAAAGAATGTATTTTGTCTTTTAAATTTCTATTCTTAACTAACAGGAAAAAAAAAAACAGCATTTCATTTGAATAGTTCAGTAGCTATATTACAGTTCTGTAGTAGCAACTGATTTCTAAAACTACCATTTTATGAAAGAAGTATTTAAAAAATCAAATCAGCGCATCATCTGAACTTGTAAAGGTGAGATCACAGGTGTCATAGACATCATTTTTTTAGATCCTGAGATTTCAGGTAACAAAATGATAGGTTTTTTGTGGTTTTTTTTTTTGGTTTTTTTTTTGTTTCCATGAGAAAGAAGAAACAAAGTTTAGGCTTTTAGCAAATGCTGGAACATGGGCCAGGATAGGAAAAACTGTAATTCAAGGTTATTTGTCTTATGAACATTATAAAAGCAGATATTGATTATATAATCAATCTTTTCAGATAGTGAAAGAAAAATTTGCTATGGTAGCACCAGATGTACAGATAGATGATGGAAAGGGAACCATTCTTATCTCTTCAGAAGAAGGAGAAACAGAAGGTATGTGTACTGAAGCTTTTTAGATAAAAGTAGATAAAAACTGGGAAGAAATTAAAATACAAGGAATTGTAAGTGGTTTAGTGCTCAGCCTGTAGACCAATAACTGAAGAGAACTGGATTTGCAGGTATGTAAGTGGCTTAAGAGTAGCTAGTGGTGTTCTCTAGCTGTGTATACTATTCTGCTTTCCCATATCAAATACTTTCACCTGGAGCATCAGGATTCCACTTGGGAATTGGGTATTCAGCTGTAAAAATGCAGCAGTTATCTTCCCCTGTTTGTAGTCCTTTTCACTTTCTTATTTGTGTTATCTTCATGTTCCTTGTAAGCCCTATTGCAGTACCCATATTATCTCCAGAAGATGGTCCTATTCATAATAATAGTTACGTGAACATGACACTTGAGACATAGATAACTCAAAATCTGTAGCTTTAACTTCAGGTTTAAATGTAAACTTTTACTTTCAATTCAGATGTAAGTATTAATGTTCACTTTATGGGTTAAACTTCTGGAATACGTATTTTTAATAGTAAATAGCTGTACACACCACTGTGTTTCACTATTTTTCTAGCAAATAACCACAGGAAATTATCAGACTTTGGAATTCGAAATGGCACTCGACTACAAGCAGATGATTTCCTCCAGGATTATACTCTGTTAATCAATGTGCTTCATAGGTAAGAATTCTGAAATAATTACTTTTGTGTATATGTATAGAATTCCACAGCGAGTTTCCAGTTATGAATTTTAAATTTGTGAATAAAGCTAAAACATTTAGTTGCTTATATAATGAAATTAAAGGTTTTTTTTTTTTAATAAATGGATATAGTTCAGTGTGTTAGATTTCTTAATTTCTATTTTATTACAAAAGTAATTGGTAAGATTTTATCTGAACAGTTTGCTCATTAAGTAACATAAGAATTGTGCACAGCTAAATTTGCTTTTAGAGCAGCTAAAAGGTGAGAAACAGCTGCGTAAAACCAGATAAAGACCTGCTGAAGTAGTAATTCATTTATCTGTGTTCAGATATGGTAATGCAAAGAGAAGTCACTTTGAAATAATTCGTGTGCATTTAACTTTGGGTAAGTAATACACTCATTATATGGAGTAAATCAACACACTGCAATTTCGGTGCAAATGAAAATGTGAGATTGAGGAAGAAAAGTAATCTAGGGCAGTAATGATTTCCTTTCTTTCCTAAGCATTTTATGGCATGGCATTGGCGGGGGAACAAATTCACAAACAGACAAAGCACAAATTATAGAGGAGGGATGAACAGATTTTCCTTCTTTTGAGTATATTTTCCTTACTTTGTCCCAGTTGGAGGGACTCTGATAATTTGAATGATACATTTTGTTTGTGGAAAAGGCAGTGTTTCTGTTGTTCAAAACTGTATATGTTTTTTCTGCAGTGAAGACCTAGAAAAAGATGTAGAATTTGAAGTTGTGGGCGACACCCCTGAAAAAGTTGGCCCTAAACCATCAGAACCAACATCCAAAAACATTACCAATGGTAGTGATGACGGAGCACAACCTTCAACATCAACAGGTAAATAGATGTCAATGTTAAATAAAGTGAAATAGTCTTTCAGTCCAATTAAAGTACTTGAATTTTATGATTTAACTTTGCCAATATGAAGTGAAAGACACTCGAATTGCCCCTGTATAAATATAATATTAAACGGTAAAAATGCACAGACTGTTTCAAAGGTTTGTAGTAAATACAACTTACTATATTATTACATTATTTAACTTGGAGGTGCTTGAGGGAGATTGTCAACTGAAACACACTATTTGCATGGTAATTCAAATACAGTTAAATCCATTCTATCTCATGGTCACCCTATTGTGTGACAAAAAAGAATCAGGTTTGTTGCTTTCTCCCTACAGATTAAAAGTTACTGTGTGGATCTCTTTGATCATATTTTATTCTGTTAATTTAAGAACATGTCTTTTTAAATCTGCTTAAAAAGAATTATTTTTCACCTGCTGAGCGAAGGCATGGCAAAAAAAAAGAAGTATTTGCTACCCAAAAAGTGCCACCATGACTTTTGTAATACAGGGTATTCTTTTGAATATGCCCACAATAGCTGAACTCAAATACAAGATGTGTAGGCAGTAAAAGCTAATGTACTGGAAACACTGTAGTGTTTCAGTGATATCTGTAGCTCCATCCTAAGCTTTTGGATTATGTTCATTTACCTGTCAGAGAGTCCTACTTCAGACACAGAAGTGTGTAGTCAGTTGCATCTTGTGTTTTGTTTCATGAAAGATTAAATGTTATGAGTACTGATACAGGTTCAAATTAAGTACAAAACAACCCCTCTGCCCCAGATAGCATTAGAAACTAGCACAAAATTAATTTTTAAGATGAGTTTCTTCTTGAAGTCCACCAGATGTCCTGAGAGTTCATGTTTGGTTCTAGTTTCCCTTCTTTACGCCATCCATTGTTATCCATTAGCTCTTTCAAGTCTGCCACTCCACCCTTTCTGTACGTTTTCTCTCTCGTAGAGCATGGTTTCTAGTGGAGAGTGTTACTGAATGCACTAGCCAGAGGTGAGGCTGGACTACAGCTCTGTGTTTGTTTAAAGGTTCTTAAAGACTCTAGCAGATAGCATGCAATTCTTCTACTTCATATGTGCAAAAAATTGTGCTAATGCATTCGCATTAGCTAATGTGGGAATTCCTAAAAATATGGGAATATTTGAGTTATTGAAATGTTTTCCATACCTCTAATGAAAAGGGAATAGCCACGTGACTAACATATTTCACAGGTTTTGGAGAAATTCAAAAGATTCTTGCCATTTGTTGACAGAGATTATGGATAAAGAATGATCTGAGATGTATTTGTTATGTGAGGGGCATTCTGTGCTTTCTTTTGAGAGCAGACTGTCCTTACAGTACCCGTGGAAATTAAAAATACGTATTTTGCAGCTCCAGATCAAGATGATCTATTTATAATTGATTCTGAAGATGAAGGCCATTCAAGTAATGCTGATGATACGGAAAATAAGAGCCGCAAGAGAAAACTAGAAGATAAAGAGTGCGTCAGTACAAAGAGAGTGCGTACGGAGCAGACAGAAGAGCAAGATGAAATTATAGCATTAGACTGAACATGCAGATGTTGTTTGACAAAATGATTGAGTCCATGTAATGCAGCAACAGCATATTATTTGGGGATGTGAAAAATGTCCAGAACTAGACTAATTGTAAGGCTTTTGTTCTGAGGAAATACCAAACCATTGGCTTAAATAATTTTTGTCTGTTTCTCTTGATGATAAAGCTGTCATCTCAATAGAGTCTTCTAGAAGTTTTTCCATATTGAATTCCATATATTAAATGTAGTAGAAACATAGTTTTTAAATACTTGCAGATAAGTATTTACTTAAACAGTCATGAAAATAAGCATGTTATTTTTGTGTAAATACCTTGTAAGTATAACTCAGTAGGACAAAAAAAACCTACTCTGCTTTAGTAAAGGGTCATCACTTGATGCCCAGACTTGTAAGTACCTAAATTTTTCTTTTGCTTGAAGAACAGTATTTTTAGTCTAGTCCTAAACATTTTTCATACCCTGAACAAGGAGAGAATTCACTAAAGCAAATTAGTGCCATGTTTTAACAGTGTTCTTAAACTTTAACTGGCACTGTGTACATTACTGTAAAACTGTTAATTTACTCAAGTTTTTCAGCTCGTACTGCCTGGTATGTCAATGTAAGAAGCAAATTTTTTGTGTATTGTTACAGTTTCTGGTTATTTATATTTGATGTTTTGTAAACTCAGATACTACTACTACACTGTACATCTGACGGACCAAATAAATGACATCTGAAGTACTTGCTATATATGCTTGCACAGTCCAAGTTTATGCTGATTTATGGGATTTTAAAATGTATAGCCTTCAAAAATTACTGTACTATTTTCATTTTTCTAAACATAACCTAGTAGTACAGAACTTGAGCTTCACTTGTTTGAGGTGAAAGGGGAATTTTTTTAATAAAACCTTTGTGAATGTTTTTTTTTTCCTTGGACACTTACTGGGTTTTTCAGTTGGAGCACTTGCATCACCACACGCATGCTTTCAGCACCTCGTGCCTTCTGAAAGAGAAAGCACTGGGCTTCTATGTGCTATACTTTGTGCTTATGGCAAAAGTGCAGCCTTTAGGAACAGTGTCTTAAAGCCTACTGCATTTGTTGACATGTTTTAGTAGCTCTCTGTACTATCAGTGTTGATTCTTAAAACATGGTAATCTGCCATTTCTGTCACTGCACTGAAATTTCTTGCTAGCTTTGTGTTAATGAACCAGAACAGCTTCTATTCGTAGATAAGTACTCAGTGGCAGCCTTACGAAGTAGAGAAATACAGTGGACAGGATTTATTTTGTTGCAGCTTATAAACTGACTGCATTTTTAACAAGATGTGAACCATGTAATGAATGTAAAAACCAAACATGGCACTTCTTAGGTTCTACATCTGATTCTGTCTAATAGAAGACCAGGTTCTCATCTGTATTGAATTGCCAATACAGTATAAAACTATAATGCAATGCTATTAATGTTTTTTCTCTACTTTTAGGAAGTAATAGTCACACAAAACAGCTTGTTTGACGACATAATACTCGAAAATGAAATCAAACCTTTGAGTTAGTTGCTTCTTGGCCAGCATCAGTGAAGACTGAGAGGTAAAGATGTAAATAAGAGAGAGAGAAACAATTTTCAGCGCTATAATGGGAAGCTTTTATAGTTCTCACTATAAACAGTTAAAGTACTAGAATTTAATGTCTGACATTTTCCAATAACAAAGATCAGCATCTTTCTTTTAGCTCACTAAAAATAAAATTATTGGTTTATTAAATAAGTTGTCAAATGGCTTGTTATCTGTGTAATAGGATGTGATTCTCACTGTGGCGTGACAATGCCGTATCTAAGCTGCTGGCATCATAATGTGTGAAGGAGGGTCTTACTGCAGGATGTTTTAGAGAAGTACTGAAAAACTTAAGGTATGCATCATCGTGTGATTTGCAGCATAAAAGGTAATAATAGCATTTAACTATAAGCAATTACAAGTTGACAATTCGGGAGATACGTTTGTACTGCTTTTTTGGGGGGATTAAGTAGTTACATAGCAAAAAAAGGCTCTCCTTCCTGTAAAATAATCTAAAGTGAATTAATTCTTCAATATATTTTTTCTGTATTCCAGCAGCTTCTGTAAACGTGACAGGATGTTGATACAGTCTTTGTTCTCTTGGGTTCTTGTTAAGTTTGGTAATACTGAATGAATCAGTAAAAATGCAGAATGATTCTATGCTGGATGAAAACGGCTCTTCAGAACTGATGGAAGTATGAGTGTCCTTAAGTGGCTACTGGCCACTAACATTGTAGTGGTGGAGAAGGTTCCAAACTAAACTTGCTCTTGTTTTTGCAAAAGCAAATTATACGTTGTATAATATATAAATGTATAAGCAAATTGTACTTTGATGCATTTACTAAGCTTTTAGATTTTTGTTTGTTCTTAAAAAACAAGCAGCTTTTCAACAGACCTTAAAGCCCTCACAGCAGTAATATCAATATGGGAGGAAATACAGTTGGAAGACAACACTCAGAAGTTAAAATGAATGAAATATTCCCTTGTTCCTTGGCTTTGCAACCTTGATGCAAGCTCTGCTCCACTAAGGGTTTCTGAGCCAGGCTCATTAAATCAGTCTATAAATTGCTATTTGCAGTGATACAAAGTGGCCTTTCTGACACACAGCTTTTTGTAGTTGATTGCTTATGTTGATGCTAATTTCTGTGAGACAAGTAATTCTTTCTGACTGGTTTTCATATTAATTCGTTCTTAATGCTTGCATTTTTATCTGTGTGGTGAATTTGAGTGCCATATATAAAGAGAATGAGACAGACTGTAATTTAGTGTAGTTGATTGCAGCTGTGAGCATTGTCTACTATCTGCCTTTGTATGCTATTAGTTCAATATCGTTGTTGTTTACTGGAGCGCAGAAAGGAGTATGGACCACTACTGCTATCCAACAGTTACTATGAATCCATTAAGTTGTTCTGACTTACAGTAAAAAAACATGTAACAATTTTCCCAAAATCTTACTGTTTTAAAAACCTGCCTGATTCTCAAAGCATACAGAGAATCACTCTTTAAGGGGCAGATGATGACTGTTCAGGTCAGGGGAACTTTGTGGGTGATGGTGTGATGGTGTACTAACCAGTCCACCTCCTGGAAAGCAACTTTAACATGGAGATACCAGTAAGATGTCTGTAGTAGTGAGGTTTTAGTTTTGCTTTATAAAACTATTTTGTTGTTGAATGGCAGGGAGATGGTGCATGATTTTCTGGCTTTTAGACTGCGACAGCTGGCAAGCAGATTGATGTGCCATTTCAGGCTGTGACCTTTATGACAAAGAGCTCTTGCTAGCCATTTGTTAGATCACGAAAGATAAAATGAGCCCATGTTCAGTGAGTATATACTGATATTGTATGTGTCAAGCTTTATCTCCACTGTCACAAAGTTGTAAATCTGCATTTGAAAACTGAACAAACACTGAATTAGGGAAAATAGTCCCCTCCTCTCTACCTGTGCTGTTTTCTTCCTTTTAAGTGGAGGTATTTTCTTTCTCCCTTTTGCATCTATTCTTATAGAAATCTTCAGCTATGTTTATCTAAAATGTCGAATTTAGAAGAAAGCAGAAACTAGGATGAAAGTAATACAACAAATTTCACACAAGTCAGTCATTTATTTGTTGCTTGCCTGAGATTATTTCTGGGCTACTGTCTTAAGCAGAACGATTACAGAGAGCATATATGCACAGACAAAGGGATAGGAAGATGCAACTTAATGATTTGGAGGCTTTGATTCTTTTTAAGAGGCATAGGATGAAGGAAGTAAATATACTTCTAGATACAGGTTGATACAGTATATACAGTTATTAACAACATAAAATTGCTGTTTGGTTACTTGTCATTACATTTGTCTTTCTCATCAGCATATTACTTCACTCACATGAGAAAAGTGAGACGTTTTCAGCATGGCTTCCTAAAGAAAAGACTTAGGGAATTGCTCCACCAATCCTCTTCAACATTTGAAGCTACTTGTATTGAGCAACTGCATCTCAAACATACTGTAATTCTACAAGTAAGTGGCTGTAGATAGAGACCCACACAAGTGCTTCTGTAATAGCATTCAGCTTTTAGATGCAGCAGTCACACACCTACACAGCTGCCCATGAGCCTTCGCTGTTTTTTGTCCATCTAAGTATGGACTGAAGGCAGCAGGAGTGTGTTGGGAAGGAGAGTGACTAAGATTTTTAACCTAGAAACTTGGGAAGCTGCCTGGAGCTGTAGCTATCAAGGGAACAAGAAGGCTGTATGTTGGTGGATGTGTTGTAGAGGAGTGCCAGAGACAAGAGTACTGACGAGTCTGTTGAAGAAAGCAGGCAAATGCCATAGAGAAACCTCGAGGTACTGCACATGGCTGCTTAAAGCTTGGGTAAGTTCTGAAGACTGTTCTTCTGATACAAAGAGGGTGCCACTGCTGCAACAGTACTGGGAATTTGGAGAAGTTAAAAGCTGGAGAATGCAAAGAATGCAGAAAGCAGACATGTATAAGACCAGCTTTCATTGGTTCCGTTGTTTGTGGAACAGCTCCTTCTTGCCAATAGGTTGATTATTTTCATTCAAGGAGTGTTAAATCTATTACATTATGGAAAATACCGTAAAAAGTAAATATAATTCAAATTCTCAACCAGAGGATGTCCTATTTCTTCTAAAAAGATTCTTCTCATCAGAGCTGAAATGCATTGTGTTGTCAGGGCAGGAGGCCAGTGCTTGTAGCCTGCCATCTTTCTTGGACGCGTATAAAAAGGCATGGTTTGTCTGGTATTCTTCACCAGCACAGAACAGGACGTATATAGCAGGACCTGTAGATGCAGTGTTTCTGGTGTTCTTGTTTTTCTTTAATGAAATATGTTAATGCAGTCTGATTTTTTTTTTTAATGCATGATGGTTTGCACTGCTGTAAACAAGCCCTCATTTTTATCATGTCAGGATGAATTTTAAATCTATGTACTCTCGTTTTTTTTATATTTTCACTTCTTTGAATGTTTGAATAAGACTTAAAACATATTAAGTGGCTGCAGTGTTAACCGAGCCAGCCAACTAAACCATGCACTTATGCATATGTAGTGGCTGCTATTAAGCTAATTGATTGTGTTTGAATTTATGGTATTATGTCCTCTGATTGCAGGGAAGTATGACTAAGGCTGTGCGCAGTCTCCCAAGTATGAGCCAATTAACTGCTTTGGCCAGGAATGCCGAAAGCAGAAATATGTAAGAGAAGTGGAAGATGAAGCTATAAAAGAAATAAGATACATAAATGGTGTATTAATCGTAAGTACTTAGACATATGTTGTCTGTCTAATGTAGCACGTTCACAAAGTGGCTGTTGTGACTAGAACTTTTCAGGGTCTGTCCCAAGTTACATTTGTGCAGCATGGTGAATAGCTGCATTTGCAATGAATAAGAAGAATGTAAAAAATGTTAAATAGTGCTTTATGGCAGATTGAGAATGAGAAATGACCCACAAACCTGCAGAATAGTGTTAGCGAAAAATAGTTGTGTCCAGCAGTCAAAGGTAGCCGCTGAGCTACACCGCCTTCTGTCCACCAGAAGATGGTGCCCTAGAATACATTCGGTAATCGCAGTTTTTAAAAGCAATGATTTCTGAATGAGTATTTAAAAACAAACAAAAAACAACAAAACCATGCCATGCTACGGTCCTAAAAACAAAACAGCACAGCCTTTGTGATGCTTGTACTTTCATTCAAATCCTGAAGTAGTGTAAAAATAGTTGCATGGTCTGCTGCTTTCAGTGAAGTGGCTATCTAGATCTAAAGTATTTTGGAGAACTAGAATGACCTCAGTTGACTTTAATTCCAAATAATCACCAAAATATTAATGCACATTCATATCCAGACTATATTCTGAAAAGTTTGCTTATGATTAAATTCATCACAACACAAATGAACATACAGGACTCAAGAAGATAAAGCAATATAAAACACAATACAGCTAGAACTTAAATGAATACAAAATAAAAGCTCCAAATCAAACTATTCCTCTTCATATTTTTTATATAAATTTCACAAGTATTTCTTTTTAAATCAGGCTTTGGAACAGAGGGAGGAACAGGGATAATAGTGATATTCTTTACCAAGAAACAAATCAATTTTATAAATGGAGATCAGAAAAGTAAACCCAAGTAGCACTAAGTCTTATTTACCTGTGGATTTCAAAGTATAATTTTGTTGTTTTCTTGATAAGGGAGAGAAAGAAGAAAAATGAAAAAAAAAAAAAAAAATCAAGTAGCATCCAGTTCAACAGTAAAATCTGCTGAGCAGCTTCACATTGATAAACGGATGAAATGAGAAAATTAACTAACTCCTGTGCTGTATCAGTAAAGACATTGTAAAACATGCTACATGCAAGTCAGGCAGATTTTTTGCCACAGTCTTAAGGAGGGCCAAAGTTTCACCGGCGAATTCTTAAATCTGCAGATTCTCTGCTTTGTTGCAGCTCAAGGAGACAGAATCCCCAGCAGACCATTAATTTTCCCTGCCTGCTGGCTTGGCCAGGGTTTTGCTGAAGGCACTGGCAATTAGAAGAAACAGGAGTGTGCTGCCTGTGAGGCCCAGCCGGCCAATATTCACAGATCAATAACTCCACCTGGCTTTTTTGCTCCCTCTAAATCTCACACAAAGGAGTTTATTTAGCAGAAGCAGCTGGCTTTCCTTCATATCTGATGTGCTGATATAACTTAACAGTAGACACAAGGATTGCCACAACAAATTACAAAGTGAAGTTCTCCTCTTTTAATATTCCATGACAGCTCTTATGTTCTGAGTTGCACAAGTCTTTTTTGCAATATAAACATTTTATTTCAGGTTGTTAAAATTAAACACATGTATTTAAAACAAATTGGGGAGAAAAACTTGTCACACTGTTATTGCCAATCATTTTTTCTTTTATACAGCAGTAAGGAGTATGGTAGGAGCACTTATTACAACAACAGCAGCTCTAACTCTATGCGTCTTGTTTGCACAGCACTGCACATATGGTCCTCTGTGAGAAACACAGCGCTGCTCGAGTGCATTGTGTACCTTGCAAACATATTTCTCTCACCCATGTGGGCTACATCTGTGGCTGCAGCACGGATAAGCACTATGTTCACTACCTGTGTGACAGGAGGATGATTTGCTGGAGAGCAGGCCTGCAGTAGCGACAGAGTGCTGTGCAGGAACACCCCTGGCCCTGGGCTGCAGCAGACCTGACTGGGCCTTGCTTTGAGGAGTTACTTATCCAACGTAAGCTTTCAGTGGTGAACGTGAGTGGTGCATATCATTTGATCCAAACTGCTTGCTAAAAAGGGCTATTTCCTCTGATACCCCAGCCTCTCTCAGAACCCAGTGTGCTTTCCCATGAGTTAATACCAAAGAAAGCAAGCACGTGCTTGAACTGCTGAGGTACCAAATGTGCACTGAGGAGTTTGCTGCCTACTGGCAGCGTTGTGCTGTGCTGCCTGGCACTGGCTGGCTGGAGCTCAGCACAGAGCCGCCAGGACCGCAGCCCGTGCCTCAGCCTCACAGCTCTGCAGTCTACACAGCCACTCGGAATGTTTCCCTGCGTGAGCACACAGGTGCAGGCCCTATGCCCTGCTCAGTTAATTGAGAAGTGAAAAACAAAAACTCCTGTAACAGTGTCCATCAGCTTATTGTATAAGGCTCCAATGGTCCAAGCTGCCACACAGCAGGAAGGAGAGCCTGGCTTCCAGGTGGGCTGCATTAGCACACATACACTGACTTATGAGTGGTGTCCTCCGTACCCCAAGGTCTGCTTTTCAGGACCGGTTCTGCTTAGTTTGTTGGCTTGCAGGATTTATTTATTTATTTATTGCCTGCTACCCTGCACACACAGGTTGCCCATCAGTCGTCCTCCACGGCAGGGGAGGGTTCTGAGTACACAGTTGCATTCAATGTTTAATTAAGAGCGCTAGCAGGACAACGCGTCCCTGGCACGGACAGAGCACCTGCAGCCCTGACCTGCGGCCGTTCCCGGGTGTAGGGTGCTCAGTTTCACCATCGTGTTTTTGTTTCTGTGAGAACCGTACGAAAGTAAGTGCAGCTACAGCTCGGCTCCCCGCCGTGCCGCCCCCGCCCGGGGGTCACACACAGGTGGGGCCGCCCCGCGCCCGAGCGGCGCGGCGGGAAGTTCCACATCCAGCTGCAGTCAGCGGCGAGAGCGGGAAACCGGGCTCACGCGACTCCAGCTGGGCACGGCGCTCCCGCGCGCGGCGGCTCGAGCCCCGGCGGCCGTTAAACCGCTGCTCTCCTGACGCTGCCCGCCGGGGCACGGCTCCTCCGGGCGCGCTCCGCCCGCCGAACGCCGGCGTGGGGACTCCCCTCGGCCCGGCTCCGCGCCCTGGACGCGGTGACAGCCCCGGCCCTCCGTGAGCAGCCGCAGCCCCGAGCGACCGGAGGGGAGGCTGCCGGCCCCGCGGCAGAGCAGCGCCGCGGCCGCCCTCTCCCTGACTGACTCGGTGAAAATCATTGTTTGGCTCCGGCATTAACTACATTCCAGCGGGACGCAGCGCCCAGTCTCCTTCCTCGCATTCCTGCCCTACACAAAGGAGTCCCTGCCTCGCCGAGCCCTGCGCTCCGCTCGCCGCGCCGCGAAGCCCCTCCGGAGCGGCCGCCGCCTTCACCCCCCGCCTGGGGGTGCGGGCCGGGCCGGGAACCCGCTGCGGGTCGGCCGGCCGGGGGCGGCGGGGGCAGGGAGCCGCCGAGCGCAAATTCCTCCGCGCGGCGCGCCATTGACTGGACCGAGCAACTTATTTAAGGCTGGAAAGTGACACGGGGGCTCCTCGTCTCTGCTCGCCGCTTTCCGCCGGGCAGCGCGGCCGTACCGAGGCGAGCGCCGCGGCGTGGGGATGCCGCCGGGGTGTGCGCGTGCCGCAGCCGGGCCGCTGTGCGGGGAGGGAGCCGCGTCCCGCTGATAGCACCGCTGGTGCGCCGCGGGAAGGAACTTTTGGGGTGATTTTTTTTTTTTTTTAATTTTTTTTCCCCCTTTCCTACTACGGACTGTGTTTTCATAGAGCGATTCCCAACCTACCCCGGGCCGCCGGGCACAGGCCGAGCATGGAGAAGTACGAGGAGAACATGGCACTGAAGGCCACCAAGTTCATGGAGGACCTGTCCCTCTACGAGCCCTGCCCGGACGCTCCCTATGGCCGGGGCGGTCGCCGGGACCTAACGCTACACGCCGATCTGGAAGAGACCAAGCGGGTCATCGCCGCCCACATGACGGCGGAGCAGCGGGGCCGGAAGATGAACGGCACCGCCGCGCCGCCGCCGCCCGCCGAAGCCTTCTCCGCCGCCGCCCCCTGCGGCAAAGCCGCCCCGCTCCGCGCCGCCAACGGGCGCCCCACCGCCGAGCCGCCGTGCTGCGAGGAAGGGCTGTGCACCCGCTCCGAGGTGGCGCTGCCCTGCTACAGCGGCTTCCCCGACAAGGGCAAGCGCTACTCGGCCGAGGGCTACCGCTACGCCGCGGGCAGCGCCTACGAGAGCGGCTACGTGGCCAAGGGCGGCGGGCGGGCTCCCGGCGGCCCGGACGCCAAGTACGGCAACGCCAGCCCCCGGGCCAGCCTGGCCGCCCCGCCGGGTCCGGGCCCCGGCGCCGAGCACGGCAAGTTCTCCAGCCCGCGTTCCAGCCTGGGCGGTGCGGCTGCGCCGCCCTACGAGAAGTTCTCCAGTCCCCGCTCCAGCTTGGTGGTGCCCGGCCAGGAGAAGTACGGCAGCCCCCGCGGCAGCCTGGTGCAGTACGACGGGGCCGCTCTCAGCCCTCGCTCTAGCTACGCCAGCACGGCCAGCGACACCAGCAAGCACTCCAGCCCCCGCGCCAGTCTCACTAGCTACGACGGCGGCAGCAAACCCAGCAGCAACCGCACCAGCGGCATCAGCATGGGCTATGACCAGCGGCACGCCAGCCCCCGCTCCAGCACCGCCAGCCAGTACTCGTGCACCACCAGCCCGCGCTCCAGCTACTCGGACTCCAGGTACGGGCCGCCGGGCGGCGCCGAGCTGGACGGGACGACTGCCGCCGGGCTCGCCATGGCCAGCCCCCGCTCCAGCCTCTGCAGTCCCGAGGGCCGCGGCGGGCCGGGCGCCGCCGTGGTTAGCCCCCGCTCCAGCATCTCCAGCCAGAGCTCGCGGAGTTCCCGCGGCTCCATGAGCGCTTACCCCGAGCTGCAGCTGCCCTCGCCCCGCTCCTCCTTGCTTGGTCCCGGCCCGCAGGAGGACTGCGCCGCGCCCGAGCTGGGGGACGTCTACCGCAAGGTCCGTGCCCAGTCTCCGCAGCGGCACGACCCGCAGCACCCGGCCGCTGCGCCTGACGCCGCGCCCCCCTACGCTTACAGCCCCACCAAGGGCTCCGCTTCGGCGCCCAAGTTCAAGCTGCCGTATCAGGTGACACCGTGCCGGGACAGCGGCCCCAGCCAGGCGGAGAGGCGGCTGGAGGCACTGACACTGGAGCTGGAGAAGGAGCTGGAGATGCACATGAAGAAGGAGTACTTCGGTGAGTGACTTGCCGCAGGGGCAGGGTGCAGTGCCCGGTCAGGCGGCTCGAGATGGTGAAGGTGTGGGGCCTGCAGGCAGCCGAGGGCTTTGGTATTAGAGAAGGGTGCATGATGTCCAGGGCTGCTCTGGACCAGTTATGTGCTGAAATCTCTGATTATCGCAGGAGAAAGCCAGCTTGCAGCAGGTACTAACATTCTTACTGGTGACACCAGTGTTTGCACCTTACTTCCCAACTGATGCTTTGTCTCTGTTCTGTGTAGCTTGTCAGGATCTGTGATGCCTTCCCTTCCTGGGGCTGGTAGGAGACTTGTCTGAGGCATTATAGAAGCTGTTTGTGTTGTTGGAGTTCATAGTGATTTATGTTTTTGTCTTTGTCAGTAAGGCTCAGTGTTCCTGAGGTTGTGGCATTTGTGATTGTACTTTCAGGTCATGTACTACGTTCTGATGCTTGTGGACAGCTTGACTGTTAAGGTAGTTCTCAGTGTCTCATTCAGAGATGTCCTAGGCCACAGTGCTCCTGGAAGCCCCAGTGTTGTCACAGCCCCTTGTGGCCTCATGGGGCCTGCACTGTGCTGAGTCGGGCAGGGGCTTGGTGTCGCTTGTGGGCTGTGGGAGGGAGGATGGAAGAGACCTCCTTGTCTTTGCTAAGGCTGTCAGCCTGTTGGCAATATCCTGAATGTCTTTGTTCTTTACAGAACAGAAGTAATTTCTTTGAGCATGTGAATATGCTTTGTAGTCACACCAAAGTTCAGATAGATCTCCTTTGTCTTTTATTTCGTACTGAGTAGAAAAGGCCAGAATGCCTTTGAAAGATAATCCTGGAGCCTGCAAGTAGTACCCTGCTCATCTGAGGCGCTGGGGACCAATGAGCTGGGTGGTAGCTGAGCTGAGTGGTAGCCGGGCTGGGCATCCCTGGTGGCAGGTGGCTTGTTCCCTGCTTACTGTGGGGATGAGGGTTCTGCATGGAGGAGCTTGCGGGAGAAAAGGGACAGCGAGGCCCAGGCAGATGAGGGGCTTGGGGTGAGCCAGCCCCCAGCAGTGGCCCTGTGCGTCGGGGCTGTGGAGTCTGTGGCCTTCTGAGGCAACCTCTGTGCCTTTCTGCACTGGCTGCGTGCAAAGGGAGAGACTTTCTGGCAGTGTGTGGTCTGACCGATAGAAGCGTTGCTTGGGACAGAGACATGTATTACCTTGGTCCTTGACTTAAATGCTGAAGATTCAAGCTGCTTTCAGTGTTAACATTAGCGTGCCCTGAGCAAAAGAGAGGAAGTACAGGACTTTGTGCCGTGCTTGTAGTGAGACAGACCTGCGCTGATCAGATGAAGTAGCTGAGCAAGTGGTGCCCTTTCCTGCAAGGAAAACCTTTCGGTGTCATGCACCTGGTGCAGGGTTCAGATGATTGCTGGAACATCACCAGCTGAGGTTGTTAATGGTTCAGGTGTGAGTATCTGCAGAAGCAGGACTGTGGGGGAAGGTAGTTAACATGCTAAGAAATGTTATCTTCAAAATAGCAGTGTCCAGAGCTGAGAGCTGAAATATGCTTAGAGTAAGAAATGTAACTTATTGCTATCCTGCACTCTGAGAGGTTTCTCCCCTGGCCAGAAGAGCTGGGTGTGATCAGGGACTCCAGGAGCAGCTGCAGGAATGGGTTTTGTGGATAGTTCGTTCTTATTTGTAAGAGCTTACCCGTTGTGTCAGTGTTTGCATGTGTAGGAACATGTTGCAGCAAGCCCTAAACTCTGGCAGATGTGTCCTATGTCAGATTAGGAGGGAGTTTGTGCCTTTCTGTCTAGGGAACGTAAGTGCCAGCTGCCCTGTGTGTGTGTTGTTGCGGTGGTAGAGAGAAGCACTACTGTGTCTTGCATCCTAGCAGATGAAATCAGGAAAACATGGTTACTGTGAAAGAAGGCTGATTTCTAAATCAAGGTTTTAATGAGTCCTGGTGGGCCTCGGTCCTGCATGTCTGCTTCACTCATGGGGTAAATGCTGAGCTTTGGCTGAATGAGCATGTGAGGGGCAAGTCTGGTATGACTGCAGGCAAATATGTCAGAGACAAGGAGAAAGAACCAGCGAGGGAAAAGTCCACTTATTGACAGATCATTTTATAAATAATCCACTCGGATGTATTGGAGAAGGTCTTAATAAAAGGAGGCCAGCAGAAATGTTTTGATTTGCATTGTGATTTGTGCATATTTGTATCTGACACACTCTAAAGGCAATTGCGGAGTGTGTGATACCGATGGAGAAAATAAATGTTAAGCTAATTGTCTAACAGCAGATGGTTTAATACTCCTTAATTGGATAAGCTCCATTGCCCTGTGAGTAAAAGTTCATATGGTGACTATAATTTTTCTGTGTTCTCTGCATTTTCCCCGCCTCCAGGAAAGGAAACAGTAATCTCTATTTTGTCCATTCAGTATGAGGGCTAATCTGTGTGGTACTGCTGTCTTCATGCCACTTGTTTTTGTCCACATATGACTTTGAAGATGTGAACAGTGAGTTACTTTGAGGTCAGGTGACTAACTAGTCCTGTTAGGTGGAAGGATACTGTGTATTTGTACTGCTTGTTGGGTCAGAGTGTTCCACTAGCCATGCTTATACTGGCAGTCTGGCTGCATTTCAGAAGCCCGTAGCACGGAGCAGATAATAAATGATGAAGCTCCTGTTGATGCCCCTGATATTTCCCTTTTCCTGAATGAGAAGAGCAAGGCAGCACTTCTAGATCAAGTGTCTGCACCAAGTTAGAACGTAGATGTGTCAGTAGAAGGACCCAAAGAGAAGGAAACAGAGCTAGTCCTTTGGTAATGCTGCCCCACCGAGCTGGTTTTGACCTTGGGGGCTACCTACCACCTAGAGAGGGTGAACAGGAATTACCTTGGAGCCCTGCAGGCATTCAGGGACCTGCTGAAGTGGCTTCATGTGACTGAGGCATGTTCAGGGCCTGAGCCCTGGAGAGGCCTTGGGGGAGCTAGCAGACCCTGCAGGCTGGGGGGCTAGCAGCTGCTCTGAAGCACTGCTGTGCTGAGAGCTTTGCTTTGCCTTGCTGCTTTCCCTTCTCCATCCTACCCTTTCTTCCAGCAGACTTCAGTGCATCTGTTCAGTGAAGGAATATGTCATTCCACAGTTGGTTTAATCTGACTGAAAGTGGCAATGCTGCAAGAAGTGCCATGTGCCTTCCCTACTCCTGCTTGCACAGCTGAGAAGTAGCACCTTACCACATCCAAGTGCTCCTGCCAGCACACTACAGCCACATGTGCTCACCGATCTTAGAGAATCCAGTGCTTGCAAAAAAGGGAGAAGGGGAGGGTTGTTCTGGGCTGGGTCCGTGAACTGCTCTGATTCTTCCTTGTCAGTGAGATGGCTGGGTCTGACCCAAGGGAGAGGGTGTGCATGGAGGGCACTGGAGGATGAGACTGCTCCCTTGGTGGCAGCCTACAGCTGGGTAAGACTATGAGCTTTTGTGCTCTTATAGCTGTACCCACTTTCTCTGCAGCCTCTTCCCAAACTGTTTCAACTTTGTCTGCTGACTTCCCATATGTCCCCTCTCAAGGCACTGACAGTTCAGGGGTGCAGCTACTTCAGTGTTGCCTTGAAGTAGTCTCTGTTTTGTCTTGCTGTGTGCCGAAGTGGAGCACTTCTGCTATCAGCTCTGCCCACAGTCAATTCTTAATTCATGGCTGGAGAAATGGAGTGTCTCCTGGAGTACGGTACAGTCCTTGATGCATGTCTGTCCTGGACAAAGTGCTGCTTTTCTGGCAGGGCTGCAAATATATGATATCAAGTGAATCTGAAGCAGTAACAGAGGAAGAAATAAAGGAATGTGCATGGTATCAGCAAGCTTTACTATTAGCTTATTTTGGGGGGCTGTGTTCAACAGCCTGAAAAGGTTCGAGTCCTGCCAAGACAGTGGTACCTGGGGCTGTTGCACAGTATCACATGGAGATGCTTCCAGGCTGGAAGTAGGTGTCCTGCTTGCTTACTTGGAAGCAGAAACATCCTCCAGCTCTAAACAAAATTAGCAGCTATGGTAATAATTGTGTGGTAGATGTTTGATTTTGGTTGTGTTTTTAAGTGATTTTTCACCATGTAGATCCTGTCTCTGGAAGTGGATTTTGTTCCACACTCTACAATGGTGTGGGTATTTCTGTTTTGACCTGTTATCTCTTTCTGTTAACCTCACCATGTTGTTTTAGCTTACTCTCAGTCTAGGCTAGTTTGTGGCTGCACAGTGAGGCAGAGGAGCACAAGGAGGTGGCCAGATGCATCATATCTCTTCCAACTGGAATATTTCGCATCATCTGAAACTTTATTTCTTGCATATCTCTAACATTACACTTATGTATTCCACAAAACTTTTAAGAGAAGTCCTATGACTCATTAAGGAGGAGGAGGGGAAAAAAAAAACTGGAAAAAACCAACAGCGCAGCATAGCCCAAACACTCATTTAATGCTCAACTGAGAACTACTGAACCTATAAAACGTGTAGAGACTTACACTGGGAGACTGAAAAGGGCGTAAGGACTTATTGCTATTGACACCTGTTTCCAAATTTGTGATCCTGGAAAAGTTCCTCTGAGCAGGTTTTGCACAAAGGCTTGTAGGCAGTTGGGTTTAAACCTCTGTGTTGCTCAGGTTGTGGTGTGCGTGCTCTGACAAGTTCAGCTCAGCTGTATTGGCCAGCATGGCCGTGAGTCCTGGCTCTATTCACCGCTGAGATGGGGGCAACAACTGCAACTGCTGCATGGCTTGAAAGAGTAGGTCTCATGGAGCTGACATGGTTGTTGTAGGAAA